ACCAAGACATGGCACTAGTCGATGAAGTCCTTTACTGTTGGCCTGAGAAGAGTGTGGATATGTAGACCGGTTGGCTGGAGTCCACGAGAGGGAAGGAATCAGTGGTTGGGGGCTCTGGATGACACGAAAGAAAATCGGTCACAATAGTGAAGATATATTAGCTCTTCGACGTCCTCCAAACCTCGCTAATTCACACGAACCTGTATCTTGGAATGTTTATTCTCTCATTACCATATCCACTTTGATATTTCTTCCTTTCCATCCACCTCTTCTTTTGTGTACTACCATGAAGCGTGGCAACTTGGGCCGACAGACTTGTGTGCCAAGTTCCACGTTGATTTTGTCAACCAGCCAGGAATAGACTCAGTATAGCACTTCTGGATGTCAATAAACCCAGAAAGTCCAGTACTGATTTCCTGGGATTATAAGGCCCTAGCTGATGACACAGTTACTGATTCGGTTTCTAGTTGTCTAGCAGTTACTTGGATAACCACAATCCCATATTGAGTGTGCAATTATGTCTGCTTGTCTGCAGTACAGACCCAGCTCACGATTCAGCGATTAACAATGCATCTCATCAATGACTGTTTTGACCTCAATAAATATCTTGACCCATATAGTCCAGGTGCCTAAAAAGAAGAACTCGAAAAGATGTTCGGGGTCAGAATCGCCTAGCCGTAGTCTTTACTAATCACATGGATCCGGAAAACACTTTTCCCAACACTCCCATATTGAGACTCGTTAACTCATGCTCATGACTGCCCTGGCGATCTGTCGAATGTAACCGCTTTCCCGAAGACATAGCTTACCAGCATATTTCTGTTCATCCCGCCAGCATGTCCAGCAATACATGAATGCCTTCCAGGCTTGTGAAAAAATTAGAAACGTTTTAGCGTTTCATTAAACAGATACCCCATAAACTTCGTTGTACACGTATGCGTAGGCAACAAACTTTTAGCTAACTTGAAAGAGAATGTATACATGAGCTATCTGAGAGCTGTTTCCGAAAGGGCTCGGAGAACATAGAGTGACACCTAGCAGTGTTAGATGCGAACCTGAGAAAAACTCGCCGAGGTTTCGAAGATATTTGGTTCACGACAACGAAAAAAATCCCGGATGAAGTTAAATCTGTGATAAGCTTCCCACCTGATCAATACTGTTTTCCTTTCACATTGATTGGAACACCTAAGGAGGTGAGGTATGGGGTTAAGTAGTCTGGATCGAAAGTGACACCTGTGGAATACGGATTACGCATTCGGTAATGAACACCTGAACCTCGCCTGGTTAACTAGTCCCCTAGTTACTAGACGGTCCTAAGCCCCCATAAAGAGGGAAGGTTGGGCATAGGGCTAGCAACCCTACCCCGTAAAACAAATCTAACCGCTAAACAAACTTCAAAGCACAAACGATATATAAAAAATAAAAACAAACTTATTCCTCACTGGAATCGGAGAGGCGAAATGACGCCAGTTAGTGAAAGCCTTCGGGAAGCCAATTGGCCGATGTATCTTATCTCCTCTCGGTGAAAGCGAAAGTAAACGTGGAGACATGGAATGTCCGTACGATGTTTGAACCCAGTAAGGCAGCCCAGATTGCAAAGGAGATGAGAAGGTATCACATCGAAGTGCTTGGGATTGGCGAAAGCAGATGGAATGGGAGTGTACTCTCCAAACTGTCAACTGGAGAATCAATAATCTACTCCGTTACTGTCACCCAGACGCCAACCACGAGCACACTGAGGGAGTGGCTATCATGATGTCCTCAAGAGCATCGAAGGCTCTCATGCAGTGGGAACCAATCTCCTCCAGGATCATGACGGCAAGATTCAACTCAAAAGGAAGAAAGGTCACAATCACACAATGCTATGCACCTACAAATAATGCAGAGCAAGAGAAAAAGAAGGAATTCTACAGACAACTTCCATCAACACTGGACAAGACGTCAGTTGGCGATATCAAAATTCTAATGGGCGACATGAATGCCAAACTGGGAGGGAACAACAAAGGAAGAAAACTAACCATGGGTCGAGAAGCGCTAGGTGAGGTGATGAACGAGAATGGAGAATTGTTTGCAGAATTCTGCGCATTCAACGATTTGGTGATCGGAAGTCAGGCAGTGTGTTCAAGCACAAGGATATCCAGGAAGCGATGACATGGATTTCACCAGACACCAGAGAGAGACACTAAAAATCAAATCGACTTTATCTTAATCTCAAGAAAATGGAGACGCAGTCTACTTGACACAAGGGCAAGAAGAGGAGCAGATGTGGGTTCAGACCACTATCTAGTGTAAGGAACCTTCCAAATCAAGTTGAAAGCCTTCAAGGAAGCTGGTGATAGACCTCAATTCAAGTACAACACTCGGAAACTGAAGGATGAAACTACAAAGGAGATCTTCAAAGCAGCCATCAAGACAACGTGGGAGATATCGAGCAACATCCCTGAAGAAACCTATGTGGAAGAACACTGGAAGTCTTTGAAAGCTATGTGGAAATAAACCTGCACAGCCGTATTAGGAAGGAAGAAGAAACGAGGCAAGGAATGGAATGGATCCCGACGGATACCTGGAAGCTGATAGAGGAGAGGAGGATGGTGAAGCAGAAGATAAACCAGCACAGGCAAGGATACTCAACGAGAAGAGGAACTGAGCACGATGTATAAAACACTGGACAAAGAAGTGAAGAAGAGTGCATGCCCGGAAAGACAAAAGACACTTCTATGACACACTGGCAAGTGAAGCAGAACAGGCTGCAGGTAAGAGAGACCTGACGATATTGTATCAAATAACCAGGTTGCTATCTGGGAAGAGATCAACGCAGACGAAGCCGATAAAAGGTGGTGATGGAAATTTAATTACAAAAGAAGAGAAACAAAGGAAACAATGGGCCGACTACTTCAAGAAGCTCTTGAATCGACCACCACCCGCACTTCGTCCAGAAATACCACCAGCAACCCAGCCGCTGAACTACAGGTGAACATAAATCCTCCAACAAAAACGGAAGTCCTGAACGCCGTAAAGCTACTGAAATGTGGGAAAGCAGCAGGACCAGATGGAATCCTGCCAGAAGCAGAGGCAACAGTGGACATGCTCACACCACACCACTATTGCAGAAGGTGTGGAAGGAAGAGAAGGTACCTGGCGGTTGGAAGAAGGGTTGCCTTGTCAAACTCCCGTAGAAGGGAGACCCCAGTGTTTGCGAGAACTGGCACGGAATCACTCTCCTGTCCACCCAAAGCAAGTAAAATATTAAGCCGCATCATCCTGGAGAGGCTAAAGGATGCACTGGATTCAAAACTACGACCAGAACAGGCAGGCTTCAGGAAGTATAAATCATGTGCAGACCAAATAGCAACGCTTCGCATCATTATAGAACAGAGTGTAGAATGGCAGTCAGCTCTTTACCTCAATTTCATCGACTTTGAGAAGGTCTTTGACAGCGCCGACCGAGAAGTAGTTTGAAAACTGCTTCATTACTACGGAATACCGCAAATCTTCATCAACCTCATTCAACAACTATGTGAAGATGCCACATGCCAAGTAATTCACAATGGGAAGCTCAGTGATGCTTTTGAAGTGAAGACAGGAGTAAAACAAGGTTGCCTACTATCAGCCATGATATTCCTGATTGTGGTGGACTGGATCATGCAGCAAACAGTGGGGAGCGAGAAGAGGGGGATACAATGGCTAGACAGCGGAAAAGAGCCCAGAAGATCTGGATTTCGCCGATGACTTGTGCCTGATGTCACATAAACTTGAAGGTCTACAGGGGAAAACTAACACGTTAACAGAAGAGGCAGCAAAGACCGGACTTCAAGTGAATATAGGGAAGACAGAGGTGATGAAGATACCGCGCCAACAACAACGACAAGCTCCAGTCACCATCAACAGGAGAAACCTAGAGGAAGTAGCCTTTTTCACCTATCTAGGAAGCACTGTCTCAACTACAGGCGGTACAGGACGAGGATGTCAAAATCAGAATCGGAAAAGCAAGACAGGTGTTCATTAGCCTGAAACCAGTGTGGAGATCTTCTGCACTCAGCATGCGGAACAAGATACGGATTTTCAACACCAACTTCAAGTCAGTGTTTCTGTGTGGCTTAGAGACTTGGCGCGTTACAAAAGGGATTTCCAATAAACTACAGACATTCATCAACAACTGCTTACGCTGGCTCGCTACTGAAGATCAGATGGATTGCCAGAAAGAATGAGCGACAAGGAGCTCTGGGAACGAACCAAGCAAGAAGCTATGGCTGAACAAATATGCACTGGAAGGAAGTGGAGATGGATTGGGCATACACTGAGAAGGCCGAGGGAGGACATCACGCGTCAGGCCCCCGAGTGGAACCCCGATGGGAAGCGACGAGTTGGACGTCCGACGGTGATATGGAGGAGATCGCGTGAGGAGGAAATGAGAGGTTGTGGGCTGTCGTGGAGCCAGGTTCGAAAGATTTCAGGGGACAGAGTGGAGTGGAGGCGTGCTACTGAAGCCCTATGTTCCATTAGGAACCCAAAGGACTAATAATAATAATAATAAACACCTGAAGTGTCGTCTCATAAGAAGCGATGCCAGCATGATCGCTTTCGTCATCAAAGGAAAGACTTTGCACATGATAGATGTTTCGAGAAAGAACAGACATGTGCTCAACACTTCCTGTCACTAGATAAATGTCTGGAGTCATGTTTTGAAATTCCAAAAGTAGAAAACACTGAGCATTGCTTTCATCAACGATCAGTATTGTTTCCTTTGAAATTACAGAGACGAATTTGAGAAATCAATTTGAATACTTACTAGGTATTCAGATTATTACAAAAGTCGAACCCAAGTATATCTCACTCAGCATTTCTGAGACTTGCAGATCTAAAACTTCTCTGGTATACATGTGCACGATAAATTTAAATATTTCTTAAAGGATGACTGAGCCATAAATGCTAAGATCAGCTTCGAATGCTATACTATGAGTTTTAAGTGATTTGTTTGGATCTTATTGAAAACTGTACAAGTTTGTTTTAAACATCCCTGTATATTATAACTATTGGGTTAGTACACGTAGATTTGGAGCTGAATGAGTCGTTCACCGCACTTCGGAGGATGAATTTGGGCACAGTTTTTGATTTTAGAGATCTGTAAGTCAACAGTATTTGAGATTTCATTGTACCTTAGGGACAAGAATGTCCAGGTCCACCTGAAGAACGTTTACAGTACGTTATCGTTGGCCTGATATTGTCATGTGTTGGGGCTTATCTATTCCAGATTTCTTCTTTCCTGCACGTGAGTTACGTTGATAAATGTATCTGTCGAAATTTCCTGAGATTATGTTAATCACAGCAAACATTTGACATACATTAATATTCAGTTCGTGTGTGCAGCAGCTGTTCACCTAGGCGAAAATACCCAGTCAGATCATTTTACGGAAGGCTGAAAAAGTACTCATAACTTCGATAAGCACCCGGTCTGGAGTAAATGGGAACTAAACGCAGTTTTACCGTAGAATCTACACAGTCATCCTGTCTTTCCTACAAATTTCCTCATTCCTTCAAAACGATCTGACTATATGGACTTTTTTCAGGGTTTGAATTTGCCATGTTAGCGTTCCAATGATTGACATGTTATCATAGAGTTTTCTGTCAAACCGTGGTAGGAGAGATCAACTACAGTCGAGGAAATATGGATGTTCTGTACCACTGTCTTCTATTGCTGGGATAGGTTACCATCCGTAGAATGTAAGAAATTTTCTGTTGGAACGATCAATGAGTAGGGACAGGCTGCTTGCTAATTTTTATGGGCATAGTTATCCACTGTTTCTCTGGTTTTAAGAAGTACAGGTGTATAGAAAACGCCAGAGAGCAGTGTGAGACGCTTATATGCCAGATAATGTCTATAGATTTTATTGAATTTATCTTCACACTATTCAACTAATATACTTATTGGATGTATAGGGTAGTGGGTGGCTCAAGATCATTTAGCGAGCTTGTCACTGACTTTAGAGCTCTATATTGCTGTTGATAATAGCTTTGTTCCCGAGGTTGGTGAACTATAGCTTATTATTAGTCACTAGGTTCCCAACCAGTGGTTTACAGGTTCGAACGCCACTCCACATATTATGATCGCTACCACATCAAGTATTAGGTGGGAATATACTCAGGCTGCAGGTTTGTATAGCAACTCTTAAAAGCGCAGGATAGTCTTATTTCCCTTTCTTCATCAACCCGTACTATGGCTTTTGTAAAACGACGATGAGAAATTAACTCACAACTGGCACTAAGCTCCCTAAATGCCATCATTGGCTTCGGCAACGGAATCTGGAATACCGATCTAACCAGGTTGAGTTTATCTTTATGTCATTTTGGTGGTTCTAGTTTTTGGATTCATGTATTCCGTGTTAATGTACTTCATGTGGAGAAAGTACCTTCTAATGCCCCATTAACAGCTAGTCGGTGACTCCCAACAGATAAAAGTAGGCAATAGTGCCTAACACGACAGATAGAACAGCATTTATGTAAGGACCGTAAGGTCTGGAGTTCAGAACGTGCGAGCAACAACTAAGTATGGCAGTAGTCAGAAGCTGTTGTCGCTTATCTGACCCGTTTGTTGCAGCAAACTTAGTTTCAGTCAGGTGTTCTGAAAAGTGGATAGTACACTGATCATCAGTTTTCACGGATGACTTGAAAGCTGGGTGAAGCACATCAAAAGCAGTACGCCCGGCCTACTGCTCCAGCAATATTGACCTCATTCTCACGTACTAAGTGGCCACAACACCAGGTAATCTAACGAAGTGGAGGTCCGTCAAAGTCTCCAAGTAATAAGGCTCCGATAAGCATTTGGCCTAGACAACCTACTCCGGTTCTTAACGGTGGTAAGCGAGCTAACTAGATTGTTTAGGAAGGTGTGAATAACTGAATTCCATCACTGGATGAATTTGTCGTTATACTTATCTTTAAAGATGTTTAAGTATTGTATGTGTTTGTCATCGGGGTATCAGTAGTAGCGTTTACAGTGTTCGCTGTTAACATCGCAGACTTTCAAAGACACTTCATAAATTGGTCCGTGAAGAGCATGCCAGGTTTCGTTTGGGTCGTGAATGTATTGATCACCCTCCGTTAGATGCTCAGACATCACTACGCGTATTGTAGACCAACAGTCGCCGTGTTTTTCGATGTTACGGTTACTTTCGATTTGTTGGATAGAGCTGTACTCTGTAAGTGTTCGTTAGAGAAGGATGTCCGATAAGTTTATTCACAACTTGAAAACCCTATACTTTAACACTTCACATTGAGTGAATCCTTGCAGCCTCTTTCCGCTTGCAACCAACAATGGGTTTAGGCAAAGATGCTAATCTTGCCTTTCTTTTGAAATTTACCGCCAGTTAAATTCTCGAGATAAGCCAGAAGGTAGTGCGTGGTTGATGCAAGCCTTCTATCACGTATAGTATTTCGATTTCTAGTGTGTGGATACTGTTATTTTACTCTGCGACAACTTACAGGCTACTTGAATCGTACTCGGCTAGTGGTCAGTGTCATTAAGTGTAGTACGTCCTTTGCACCATCAAAGTGCTTCTATGAGACTAGCAATCGTATATGCCTGGACCCTTGGTGATGAATGGCTGGAAGTTATCAGAAAGCTTGTATACCTGGATAGTTGTGTGTGCTAGGAAAGGTGTGACTAGTGGCATTCCCAACTGCTTAACGAAAACTAAAGTGGTCTGCGCAAATCTAGGTCATTCCTGGTACCGTTGTGACAATCTCACTGTGAAAGTTTGGGTATGCAACCCGTTAGCTCTGACAGTTCTACTCTACATCTGTGCAACCTGGTGTCTTCGAGATGAAAATTATCGACGGCTCTGGATGTTCGATTACTGTTACCTCCGTAGACTTCCTCACCTCTGATGGAAATGCCATGTAAGTACTTCCGATGTGAAGTAGTTTTTGGCATGATGAAGATCGTCACTCACTGAGTGAGGCCATCTTGGCACATTACCGTCGGTCCACAGGTTCCCACACAACTCACTGTTTGTTTGCCCTGAAACTGACTGGAACAAGTGATCGATGTATGACATGGTGCCGTGAAATAAAAGACTTAGGTTAGCGTCTGTAGTTACCTTACGACTACTTAGATGAAGTTCAAGAGATCACGTAACTTACTGGCGCAAAGTGATAACAAATGAGGTTCTAAACCAACACAAGTGATGACTGCGCTGCAATTCCCTTGTTTCTCCTACCATTAATAAATAAAACGAAAGCTGTGAATGCTTCACAGGATGTCGCTGAGTTGCTTTTTTAATAACAATTGTATTTTTGCTCCTACTCTCCCGCTTTTGTCTTTATAATGTTGGGTTGTTATTTGGTGTTTCATTTCTTGGTACCCATGATGTACCGTTTGTGTTCTAATTATATATATATATATATATATATATATATATGTTTACGACACTCACTTGTACTGCCAAGATATCAATCATCCTGGGTTTCTGGTTTTCGCCTCACTTCATTCAAACTTTGTGGCCTTTGTGTTAATTGCAGTATTTTTATCCACAATAGGTTCAGAAACTGATCTTTTCTCTAAAAGAAAGACTAATTCAGAGCCACTCTCCTGTAGGTGTCCCAGCGACCTACGCAGCTGGAGTGTTGACCATTCTCCGGATTTTTATTTCAACGGTTGATAGCGTACGCTTAAATGTATTGTTTAAAAGTAGGTGAGTAACTGAATATCACACCTAGTTCTCACAGTTTCTAGTTCTATCACGCTGCATACGCCAGTACACATACATATATCGCACAAATAGTATGCATCCATATATGAATACGTATGCTTGTGTGTCGTCTCAATAAATTAGTTTGCGATTGTTTCTAACCTGGCATCTCAAGACAACCTGCTAAATGGATGCTAAGAAATGGGTTTAGGAATGTTGAGTCACTTGACTGAGTTCATTTGGGTTTCGTTTGTAAAACTTTAACCTCAATAGGTTCCCAACCTTCTTTAAGAGGTATCACGCTAGATAAGTGAAATCGCTTCATATATTGATGGGATCGCTTTCTTATTCTGAGCATTGGGTTCCTTGAGCTAGATGACGTTATACAGTTCATGCTTTTGTTACTGTGATCTCTTAGGTCCTAAATAAACAAAATAGCGAAATCAGAATGTTTCTAAGTCCTATTTCTCTTCATCTGACGGAAGCAGAAAACAAAACGTAACTGTCGTCATTGGATTGAAGAAATCTCCTAAATAATCGGGAATGTCCATCATTTACTATCAATTTCTGTTTGATTTCCTATCTTCAGCCTTAATTTCTAGCTAACTACTCGTCATATCTAGTCGATAATCCTTTATCCTCAATGCTTTCATTATGTATTAAGATAACCACTGAGTAATTAAACTATCTAAACCTTACTATTTCTTTTCCAGTCTATGGTTACTTCTCTCATGATCTTGTCATTCATCGCATCTCTTGGTTGCTCTCTGTTTATATATTTCACACAACATTCACGCGAAACACTCAACTCTAGACTTGGCGCATTCTTCTTATTCTCGTTCTCAACAGGTAAGTCGTCTGTTTTCTCATTTTAATTGTGTAGGGTAGTTCATCTTTCTGTTCAATTAATCGTTTTATCTAAATATTATCGTTAGTGGTCTCTTTTTCACAGAAATAGTGTTGTCATCTGCAATGAAATCTATGAGTCTGTCAATACGCACGAAAACCATAGTTGAAACAATCCAAAAAAACTTTCTGAGGTAAGGATAACTAAGTTGGTGCATCAAACTTATGTTTCACGCTCTTTTAACCGAGCGTAAAACAGTAAGCTTTTTCCAGGAGCCTGCAGCAATGTAAGATCAGAATCCAAACGGGTATTTGTAAAAGAAACAAACTTTTTGCCCATCTTGTAGCGATGTGATCTGTCGGTCATTTTGACCGGTATTAGATGTGACAACCTTATTACTTTTGAAGTCTGGTGTATATTAAGAAATACCACAAATATGTTTCGTAGCGTGGTGTGCAGAATCTGTGCATAGTTGCCAGTCAGACATTACGTAGTTTCTTCTCTACATATCCTTTTAGTCTCACAGAACAGTTTCGACAATTTCCACTTTTCACTACTCCACCCAGCGGACGGGCAAATAGTCTAATAATCATCGCTGTGGTGATCTGTCTTAGATGTCCAGTTTAACAGCAAATAATTTCTAAATCGAATATGAGCTGTATGGACAACGGCTCGAAACTAACACCGTTTAGGTCCTGTTTGCTTTCCTAGGAAGCACCTATGATATAAATGAATTGAGTTTAGTTGTGGATGAGGTTCTCAAGTTCATAAAATCTGCAGAGTACAGTTAGCTGCGCAGTTTTAGATACTTATATTTGTGGAACTGTGTTTCATATATTTAAGTGCTTGACTTTCAATCAGGATACTACGGGTTTGAAACCTCTCACTATCTGTAGTTTGGTGAATCATTTAATTTCACTAATCTACATAGTAGTTGATTCGCATCTTGTTAAACGAACTTGCATGGGATTGCATATTTGGTGGGTCTGATTTAGTGGTAGCTATTCCGAGCGAGAAGTTGAAGAAACTGTTGGTTTAAAATGTTGGTAATAGGCGAGAAAAGGTTTATAACTTTCAGAAAATTTCATTGCTTTCGAAAGCGTACGAGTGACTTGCATTGGATTTCCGCATCATGGAGGTCGATATCTTGATTGAGAAGTAAGCCGTTATGACGTAGCGCTAGGTCTAATGTCGATACTGTGTCTTGATTTAGTACTGCGTTAATCTAGCAGAATTCTGCCGGAAGTCAACCGAAGTCTGTACTGGGTCCTGTAGACCTGCGTTCTCATCTTAGCAAATACACCATTGGTATCTGAAGAAAGATGAAGATGAATTATTTTTTTCCGAAACCGTCTGTAACTTCTAAAATGAATAGTCATTGTGACTGGAAATGCCGTTTATGCAAAGGCAAACTTTGTTGCGTTCCAACAGTTATATGAATTTGCCCTCTCACCGTTTATCCTGCTGCCATAATTGGTTTATCTAGTTAAGCCTGACGAATCGATAACAGTATGTCAATTTCGCCATGACATCAATCTGTTAACTATTGATTGGGAACAACAGGCATTGTGCTTACTGAAGGTTTAAATGGTGTTTAAACTATGTTGAGTCCGTTTTTCCCAGGAACTCTTCTTGATCGATTCCGGTTGCACATATTTCTTGCAGGTATTGGATTTGGTCCTCTTCTACAAATTGTGTCGATAATCAATCCTGATACTATACCAACTGCCCTCCTGGGTAGCGCTTTGATTTTCGTCTCATTCACTTTGGCAGCACTATTTACACGAAAACGATACTTCATTTACATTGGTGGTGAGTTGTGTCTTAGATTTGAAACCATGCTTAGGTCTTTCATCTCTTTGTTTACACCAGTTTTTTGGGTAACATCATTGCATTTTTGTTTGCTTGGATCTGAATAAATTACATGTAATGTATGTTCATTATTCTTGTATAATAGGCATCACTACATTTATTTGTATTATTGCAGTTGGTTTTTGATATCAACCTATATACATTGTAAAGGTTTCACCTATAGTAAGGTTGTTATGTTTTCAAATCCAGTTTTCAAAAGTATTAAGATTTTAATTTGTAAAAAGATACGTAAAGAGTTCAACACCATTGCTATTTTCATAGTTCGCAAAGCTGTGTATTGTTGATCTTTTCAGGGTATGGTTTGAAGTATCAAATTTAGTTAGCTGTTATAGGAACGGATCAATATTAGTTTCGAATACGCTCATGAATATTTTTTATTGGTGTTGGGATGATCGAGTTTACATATGAAAGTCGTCTGTCGCAAAGATATACTACGACAAAATAATGCTGTGGATAGAATTTTCTTTAAACTTCAGAATCTTTAATACGCAGTTTTGGTAACGATATTGAGATCTGCTTATGAACTCACTGATAATGTAGCCTATTCACCATTTGAACTATTTCAGGGGGCTTGGATCTAGTCGTAGACATTTCATTTTCAATTTTCATATAATGGGCTGAAATCTTAGTGTGGGTTGTGAAAAATATTTCGGCATCACTCTCACTAGTTACGCTATCAGTACTTGCACACTTTTATTGGTTGTTTTACTGATAAAATATCTAGTCTTTCAACTTCTCATTTACCAACTAATAGCGATTTGAGAATTTCAACGTATCGAATAAGACAGTTGTTTTTTCCTCTCTATGGCTATGAATTAGCGTCATATGTATTGTAGTAGTTACATATAATGGGACGATAATTTTGGAAGTTTTCTACATATGCATAGTTAGGTTCTTTTTCTCTGTAAATAACCAGAGACGATTTTACACTTTTCACCTGATTAAAGTGAACTGGCAGAAATGTTTTGAGGGTGTTCGAAAAGCGAAACAAAATTTTTCGAAAAAACTACAATTTTGTGTAGAGTTCTCAAGGCAACAAAGATCAGTGTAGAACATCGCATACAAGTGCATCGGTCCAAACTGCTTCACTTCACAGTGGTACATAAAGAACAGTGGAACAGAAGAGAGTGATATCAAAGTGGACAAAGTTGTAAGAGAATAAACAATTTGAAGATGAAGGTTAGTGAAAATACCCAAGCTTCAGAAGATGTCAAGAAGCAAATACATCTGTACCACTGTCATCAATTTCCAGCCATGTTACTGAGATTCATCAACCATTGATTCCAATCTTTTCGGGGACCCCAGCCAGGTAGTCTGCATCTGTCCACATGGCTCGGACAAACAGTTAGAGATTTCATGAATTGTTTGGCTACCCTGAGCTCTCTTCCAGCATAATTTAACTTCCCTAGCATGTCATACCAAGGTAAGCGGCAGCTCGGTATGCACGGTACGTGCCTTAGCCACCTCACTCGGTGATGGCTCACAAACTCGTCGACTGGCTTAATAGCCTTTCTTAGTTTTCAGGTCCTAAATAATATGGCTTTGTTGGATAAAAAGAAAATAAAAAAGAATTTCCACCCAACGTGGGTCAAAAAGAAAGAAGATAATTAGGTAATTATTAGAAGATAATAATAATAATGATATCTATAGTTATAGAAAGTTGCACGTGGCACTATTAGAATAATCGATGAGTTCTACATACAGGTCACCAATCTGGTTTCTTCCCACCCTATAGGTAATGTGTTGGTAATCCGATCATCTAAATATAAGTAAACAAAGCTGGTTTTGAACTAGGAACCAATGGCTTGAAAGTCGATTATTTAAGCCAATGAATCATGCTTTCGACCATTCGTTTTTCTTAAAAAGGTGGAACAATTTGAACTACTACACATTGGCAAAAGTTGATTATGCTTGCGAAATGAAAACTCAAGACCACTTGGGAATATATAAGAGAACAAAGTGCAGCTAAATGCCATTCTTGACTCCACTTTATTCAGAAAGTATCACTGGATATCAAATTAGTTTAAATGGGCAAATAAAAATAAAATTAACGTAGTCTTCAGTTTCTAAAGAAGTCGAAATAGAGTTTATTCTACAGCAATGTGAATAACTAACTGCACGATATCATGACAATTGTTATACAATAGTCTAGTCTGATTTGTTCTCTTATTTTCTAGCTGCATTGATGTCTGCCACTAGTCTACTGGCTACTTTTAGCCTGATGAACTTATTTATCCGCTCTCCGGCTATATATGAGGCTGAACTTTACATCGGATTGGCTATATTTTGTGCTTTTGTGGTTTACGACACGCAGTTGATCGTTGAAAAACGTCGCTCTGGAGACACGGATTTCATATGGTACGTTCGCTTCGTTATCTCATGGTTGCTATACTTTTCATTTATAATTTTTGAAGACAACAAAGCGTTCATCATATTTTGTAACTGAAGACCATTACATTTTGTGAAAAGCGTATGGTCACCGGGAGTTTCAAAACAGGACACAACTCTATAACTTTGTTTACGTTCACACAATCAATTAAGTCACATCTTTTGTTTCCGTTTTTCAGGCATACTTTGGACTTGTTCATCGACTTCATTGAAATATTCCGCCATCTTCTCGTCATCCTCAATTCTAAAAGGGTATGTCGCTGCCAATGATTTATGGGCAATATTCATTTTACAAAATTCTAGTAAACTGAAGATTTTGTAGTTTATGCTAGATCGTATGTTAGTGATATCTGTCCTTACCGTTGCGTTTGTTAGCTTAGTAATACAAATTGAAGGGGATAATTCTGCTAATCAGTCGTCAGTGTTAAAAGTATCTTTCTCTTTCTTTTTTTTCAGAGACGCAACCGTGATGAAGAGTAGACGGTAGTATGCTACACACCCTTTTCAGTTTAAAATTAAGCCTACGTACTTAAATTTTCCAGTGGTATTTTCCACTGATACTATTTCATTTAAATTTGAATGTTCTCATAAAAATCTAACAAAAAAAATCTAAAATGTTTAAAAAGCAATCTGTTTTTGTTGATTTAAGATTTGAATGAATTAAAATGCATGAATATATTTTCTCTTGTCTATCATACAGTATCCCAAAATATTTCTGTTTTAAATGCTAAGGTAGTTGAAACTATATAATATTAAATGTACCGATATTTGCTTTATGCTCCAGAATATAGACTCTGTGAGTTAAAATTGTTTCTTCGATGTGTAATTAACTTTAAGCGGAAGTATTGAACACCTGTAATGGTTGTAGGCCGATACTTATTAGCTTTGTCTTCCTACTGATACAGTCAGTACCGGATACGGCAGTAACGTTGCCTAACCTCCTGTGGAAACAATCTTTGTTAAGTATTGCGTATGAACTGAACCCCTTAAAAAGCTAAATACCTAGTTGTTTTTAGACATTAAGTCGAAGTGTAACCTTGAAATCACTTGCAAGCTAAGCTATAAACCACAGTCAGTGTACATATTTAACTATATTTGAATACCTTGGTTGATGCAGACGATGATTGCTGAACCCGTTCCATTTGACCTCTTGTCTCAAACAATGTGTACACGAGTCTGAGTGGTACTTCTCGTTTTCTTAACGCTTCCAATATTGCTGACTAATCAGTAATGAAGAAAGAAAACCGGGCACCAGTATAAATAAGTCGGTTCATTCACGAATTCCACAGCTGCGGCAAGTCAACAGAAGTTAACAAAAATGCATTTAAAGCGTTTCACATCCAGTCATATGACGCACATCGTACAGCACACCGAAATTAAAGTACGATTTTGAGTGTAAGCATGTATCGTCGGCTTCTTTTAGTGCTAATTAAGATGGGGGTCCATGAAGACTTCTGCCACCTACAGCACCCGAAGTGCGTGTGTATGTAGTCAAGAATGGTGTTATATTTAGCGCTTTATCATAAAATTGTGAGCAAACCTTCGACTGACAAGAAAAATGTTCCATTATCAGCACTGAACCTTGCTACCCGTTACAGGTGATTTCTCTGAAAGCACTGACAAGAACAATTATTGTGACTGGGGATCGGTGTTGGGGATGCGCACCTAGCTCCCAAGTATTTAAATATGGGCCGTGTGCCTTCACGTTTCTGTCGCACTCCAAACGTTTCTGACCCAGCTGTGTCAGTCAACGTCAAAACCGAACACAGGCGAATATTATGGAGAATATATTCCCGACACAATCGAAAATTACAGCCGGGTAGGCCTCGCTCGAAAACGGTACGAAACGACTTATGGTCTTAACGTCAACTAAAAAACCCAAATAGTATACAATATCAACAAAGGTAAACTTATGATTCGTACGCATCTTTAAACTAATAGTCGGTTGCTGTGAAGACCTTGACCTCGTTAAAAAAAGACTGGGTTTACAATGATTTGAATTCCAACATCTAGGCAGGGGTTACATATTCTTGCTAATATTTTTCGTAAACGTGTTGCTTCAGTCTTAGGTGAGGGTCTGTTGAGTTCCTCGGCAGTGGATGCATGTTTGAGCCCGCTGCACCTACCGAGGTTTGGTAGGGCAGGTAGTATCAGTGGCTCTCACATGATAGGTGCAACTCATTGCCTTCTGCACGGATGTGTACAAAGTAGCGAAGTACATTTCGTTTTCTTCGATGCATGTCTTCACCATGATGCAGAATTTACTTTGATTTCTGAAATAACAGCAGCAAAGATTGGGCCAGATCAGTATTTTTGGAATATGAACATTGGGGTGACCACTACTATGAATTATGGAGTAATCCTTGGAAAACTGTTGAAGTTACGTACGGACTGCAGTCGCATCATGTTAAACAAGTGGATTGAAGTCAGATACGGGCCACCTTGGCTAAACTGAATGAAGTGACAAAACCCCATCAGGAGTAAAGTAGCTGGTGGACACTCCTGTCAGCTTTGGCCTGGGTGATTGCCACAAAACGTTTTTTGGCTACAACAGCATGAACGAAAGGCCATGGTTTTCCGTTTCACAAGTAACATGCTTCTCTAAGAAAAGTTGCAGCTTGCAGCTTTATTCGTGAACAATCACAAAGCTCTACAAGCAGTATATCCCTCTACAAACCTCATCAATATTCAAGACAGGTAGGAAAGTAAACATGTTGGTATCACCAAGCTCGATCCTGCTTGCCGTTGGATAACTTAAGTAAAGTACTATACTTACTAGTAGGAAAGGCGTGTGGTCGGTGACGGCCAGAATAGCTAATTGTCATTTTCTCCATATGGCTGGTAGGGGTGTCCGATAATTTGAGTGGAAGTGTATGATCCACCAGTAGAATAACCATGATGCTATAGGTTGTGAATAAATCTTACGTAAGCACCTGCGGATGTCGAAAACTAGAGCGCAAATTTGTCATCCGCTTTTAGATTCTTCACTGTTGATGTATCGTTTGCATAAGTTTGTCGCGTTACTTTGGTCTGGTACGCTCAAAGCAGAGAAAAATAATGCCTCTGTCGGCTATGCTGACTGCACTACATCCCGTGCTAATTCTGCGTATGCAGTATCGATAGAAACGATTCCTAAGTTAACGCAAGTTACTCTATGAAGGCCGAGTTTAAACATATTATTACTCGTCATACAGTGTCTATGAAACACTGAGCTGCGAATAGCTAGGGATGGGTTTCACAAACAGCTAAAACTCGAGATAGTCCAACCTTTAAGATGGTTATCAATTTCATGGTGCCGAAGAATTCAAAGAAGGGATGACCGGATGGAGACTATCGTACTTTGAATAAAAAAGAAAGTTGTAGATAGATAGGCAATACCGCACAATCATAACTTCCGCAACATCCATTGATATTTCGGGAAACGTATCTCGTACATACACATGATCTTCCCACCGAAGAGTCAATAAAAAAAGCCTACTCTTTTGTTATGTATTTGCATAGTAGTAATTTTCTGAACATGATTTTGCTGATTTACTTTCAACGTTTTCACGTGATTAGTCTCGTATACTTAATTTATTCACACGAGTCACGCAATTCAACCGTAGTAATTTCGTACGACAGAACACAGTATGGCGCTTGCTGTCTATATATTTTAGGCAATCTAAGTCGCCAGAATACAAAACACATCATAAAAATGGAAATCATTCCCATGCGCAAAATCAAGTGATACCATAATGGTTGGTTTCACTTAATAGAGTCCGACTTCTAAAGGCGAATAAGTTCTAATGGGTCTTGTTCCACTGCATGTACACCGTATGCGATCTCAGGTAGTTCATTTTCTTCGCCTGATCCTGATAAGAAGTCTGCCGAACAGTTTTCTTTCCCTGCCACATGGCCAATTGTGAAATCGTACTCTTGCAGTTGTAACATACAACGTGATAATTTCCTTCTGGGGTCTCTCGCTGTCTTTAGCCACTGTAGAAGTTTGTGGTCAGTTTCAGTATGGAGTCGTTGACCGAGGAGGTACGATCTCCATTTCTCAAGTGCCCAAACTATCGCCAGACATTCCTTTTCAACTGTACAATATTTCTGTTCTGCAGGTGTCAAGACGGCTGGCATACTCCACTACTCCCTCAGTCTGTCTCAGGACTGCACCTATTCCATAATCAGTTGCATCGGTGGGTACGGTGAATAGCCTCCCGGGTATGTGTAGTTTTAAAGTCATCCTGGTCATTCGGGAGTTCCTTGATGTGATCAAACGTTTTCTGTGCCTCTCTCGTCCACAGAAATTCGGGGTTGCTAAGTAGCTTAGATAAAGGTGCTGCTATGTCACTGAAAATTTTGAGGAACCGATTGTAGAATGCCGCTCTACCCAAGAACTGTCGCAGTTTCCTCTTGGAATTCGGCACTGGAATAGTCCTAACCGTCAGAATCTTCTCAAGTAATGTTTTATTTCACCGTCCCAACTTTATATCCTGGCAATGTAACACTCTTCTTGGCTACCTGAGATTTTGTCCAAACTCGTCGAGCGTCTTAAAACAGTTTCCAGGAGTTCTAGATGCTCTGCTTCCGTCCGACTGTACACCACCTAATCATCACCGTACACCTGCGTTCTCTAAATTCTTCAGCAACAACATCATCAACCGTCTAAGTGTGAATGGCGTGCCTACCGGACCAAATGGCATTCGCTTGAATCCGTATTATTTTTTGCCCACAATAAATGCGGTTTTCTCTTCATCGCCTTCTTTTATTGGTAGGTGTCAGTAGCCTGAGCGGAGGTCCAGAACTGTAAATACTTTTGCATTCTGCAAACGATCCAGTGTTTCAACTACCGTAGGCATGGCACGCGGCTTCAGTTGCGTTATGCTATTTAACTCTCGGAAATCAACGCAGAATCTATGTTCCCCATTTGACTTACAATACCTTTGAATCAACGAGTCTAAACTTCCTAGCTATCTACTGATCGAATCTTACATTTGCGCACTATGCCGATGTCGCTTGTAATTCCTTAAGGTAAAAATAAAATGTACACAGTCAAACATGTCAGCAAAAAACCTAAACCAATTCGACTAACAAAATTGGAAGAAAACGTTAAGATTTCACTACCAGATGTTTTTTCTATCAATGAGAAACAATAGACTATAAAATTAACTATATAATTAGGCATTAATCACAGATGAAATCTTGAAGTGTTGGATGCGCGAATACACTTTACACATAGATTGAAACTTAGTGTAACAGGAAAAGTGACAGTGAATCACTTGGTCTATATACGAGGCGGTTAATGATCGTTCAACAGCGCTTGCAACACTTGATGAATTGTAACATCTTGGCTGCTCTGCATGTGATTAGTTCTCGCCATCGACATTTCAATAGGCCAACGATACGATCTGTGGAATGTGATATCACAGTATCTTCCTCTGCCTTTTAAAAAACATAATCTTCACCTCTTAACCAACTAGGGTACGTATATTCACATATCTATTGTGCAAAGCTACTTATTTTTGTCTGATTAAAATTCGTGGAGATGGGAAGTGGAAGTATCCTATCATTTCGTTTCTTACATCAAGTGCGTCTTGGATACCGTCAGCTGATTATCAGCCATTTTCAGATTATTGTGGTAGGCGAATCACTACAAAACCAATCCTGAAACTTATCAGCATTACCTTTGACTTCAGTATATATGGACAATTCAAGCAATGCGATACGTTGAAATAATTAGTCCCATTGTTCAGCTAAGCCCACTTGTTCTAAATTCTCAGACAATCAGAGTTGCCTTAAAGCCAAATTAGCTGATATTATTCATCAATTTCACAATCCATATCTGAGGTATCGTAACTCCTCAGCATTGAAAGGATCGCGAAGTAATCCTTTCATTATCATCCTTATGTCCGAAAAAGGATCATTATAAGTGTACAATGTTATCCATCCTCAGCGATGAAAGTAATTTATGGCAGATGCTGCTGTTCACTGAATATGTAAATTGGAACGAAAAATAAAATCGATCCTATTGAAACTGCTCAACATGAATGATATTAACAAAAAGGATTTGAATATCTATACTTATACGGACTTCCCAGAGTACATAAAGCTAATAATTCACTCCGTCCAATATTGCCTATTTCAGTCACCGATACATAAATTAGTAACAATTTCTAATCCTATTAGAAGCCATTTGAAAGTTTTCCTTGAAAGATACAGCTGGATTTGTTGACATATTAAATTATATCAATATCAGGCATAAGACTATGTATTTATTTAATGTGAATTCTTTATTTACTAATATACCATTGACCAAGACTATTGATACTCTTTATGATTACACATCTTCCAAAAATCTTTACCTCCTATTCCCCTTGCAACTCTCAAACACCTATTGTTATTATCTACTGATAACATCCAGTTCAAACTCTACGACAAATATTTTCGACAGATTGATGGTGTTGCTTATTCTCAGTGACCTGTTGGGGACATCACGTACCAGGCCCTCAAGTGGAACTCAAAGAGGAAATGACGAGTTGGGTGTCCGAGGGTGACATAGAGGAGATGGTGTTAGGAAGAAATGAGAGCTTCTGGGCAGTCGTAGAGCCAGGTTCATTCGTACTTACACCCATATTATTAGTGGTGGTGATGTGACCTTTTCCCTACTCTTGTTTTTGTTTTGCCCTTGTTATCTTTCTTAATTATAATTCCATTGGCTGAATAAACCGTCCTTAGTTATGCATAAATTACTCGACAAGTTTATGTGTGATCAGATTGTTAGAAATGTTTAGCGTCAGTACGTCACATGTTTCAGATAATCTCCCTTTTCTCATTACGCTATTTAAGAAGATGAGTATTAGATAAACCACCACGGACATGAAGTTTATTTGATATAGAAAACAACAATTTGATGGTTATCAAATATTACACCAATAAGAACAATTTCCTAGTATGACCTTGAAAAGTCACGAGACAATATGAGTATGCTTAAATGATAATCGAATGACTAATTCCTATGGTATACAAAATCAGTACCTAAACGTCTAGGTAATAGGAGTTAATTTTTAATAAAACTATGCTCTCAAGTTTTCAATGGTTCTCCAACTGATGTCAGTCCGCGATGATTACCAACCTGGAATCAAAAAAGGAACTCAAAACAGCATCTCATGTTATTGAATAGCAGAATCTTTCTCTGTGTATTAAAAATGACCTAAATAAAAATGATAACTGAAACATTTCTAATTCTTTCCGACTTACCAAAGTGAAGGCATATCTCACTGGTTTAGGTATTTGGCTTTAAATCAATCAGTCCTGAGGTTCAACCCACTTAAATTACTTCTCGCTGGACAGCCATGTAGTACTATAGGCTCTCAAAAACTAAACCTAGATCATGACTAGTGGGCTGCGTAACTGATTATTAATAAAGCATTTCATAAGAACCAAGTGATCTGACCAATTACATTGAGCTACAAGGTCCAACTGCTGACCATATTTTTATTTCACTTCAATCACCATGGGTTTTGTCCGACTACCATGTGAAGTCGTGACGCTTTGCTACCGCTTGATCATATTCACACTGATTACCTAGTCAGGACTTCTCATACCAATCAAAATTTGAGTTAGAGGGGGAGAGCATCATAGTGATTATCATTTTGACTATCTGAGATAGCCCTGTGATTTGGCAGACTAGGATTTATGCTGGGTGATGATTGAAAGTGAAATGAAAATTTGGAACACGACCGGATTCAAACCAGCGACCACGGGCTTCCGACCCGATGCTCTACCAACTAAGAAGTCCCGACTAGGCAGCCAGTGTGAATACGATCAAGCGATAGTAATGTATTACGAATTCATATGGTAGTCGGGCGAAATCCCACCTTGTGATTGAAGCGAAATAAAAAAATCTGGTCAGCAGTCGGACCTCGTAGCTCAGTTTGTAGAGCATCGAACGACAACCCAGTAGTAGCTGGTTCGAATTTGGCCGCGGTTCAAATTTTTATTTCACCTTCAATCATCACCCAGTATAAATACTAATCTGCCAAACTACGGCTATCTTATCTATCTCAGATAGTCAAATGATAATTACACTGAATCAATTTATTGTGAATTCATGACAAGGTTAACCTGTCTTATCAATTCTATCTCATAATGAACATGAATTTTCGAAGAATAACAGTCTATGCATGCATAGACTTTTTGTTAATACCGATAACATCATATTTTGAAATACAATACACCATCATTTGCATAAATAAAAACTCATGTAATCAAATATGAACCAAAGATACATACAAACTGACATTTTCCAAACTTTCATACAATTGCTATATTAAAAAGTCATACGAGAAACAACTTTTCTTTTTAATCATAAGAAAAAAACAAGACAACAAATTATTAATCGGAAACAACTTTCAGTTACATAAGCGTGAAGAGATAGATTTAAATGATAGTCAAAATGAGTGAACAAATTTATTATGGGACAGTCGAAAAAAAATCATCATATGTGTGTAACTTGAACATTAATGAATAGGTGAAAAAAAGACAGACAATGAGATAAACGCGATAGGGGCACATCTTGGAGATAGACAAGCAAAGAGAAGAAACACAAAAAATTTCTACGAAAATGAGATTCCAACCAGACAAAAGTATATTCATATATGTATTAAACTAATATAATATACATAAATTAGGCCTCCTTAAAATTTTATCAAATTGATTATTAAGAATGGTAGGTAAATCAAAGTATCAACTAGATGAAAAATTTTTCGTATATCATCTACTTTGCGATAGTAATGGAACACGTTTTTCTCATATTGACGAATGAATAGAATGGGAATTATATTCTTGAAAACTGTAAGCATCAATATTATTGCTTCACATTTGCTCGTAGACGAATCTCGTCAATTTTTTGATCTCTGGTAAATAAAAAAATAACATGAGAACAGTTGAGTGAATAATTGTAAAACTGTTACATTGAAGGTTACAGTCAGTTTGTTTGTGTGAATATTTCATTAACGCTATTTATCTTCAACTCATTTTTATGTGGAAATAAAAAGGTATTACTATGTAGCAGTCCAACAGTACGTCAAGTGGAAGATAAATAAACAAAGAAGAATCAATCAAAAGTATGACAAATAAGAGAAAGGCGTTGTGTCGATACATCTGTACCATTGGGATCACTTCTGAGACATAACATCTACAATTACTGGTTCCTGGTGTCACGAAGATGCCTATCGGGAAGTCATCATTCCCCTACACAGCCCAGACTAATAATCAAAGCCTTCAGAGACTGATCTCATCTTTTAGTCTCACCAACCACTAACCTTTTACCAGACTATCCCAAACTCAGTTACTAGTGTGCAACGGAGCAGACAGTGGTTAGGCATGTCCAAAACACGTTCCACATGAGTCAATAAAGATTCAAAACCTCATTGGATGACCTTCCTCTTCGGCCTAAAACTTAACTTCTACATCACCGATGTGGTGAAACCACGAGACATGATCTATGCTACGAAGGTAACAACGGTTGAACAACTGAAGCTTTCTCATGCCCCCCCCCCCTCCCCATAGTCATATTGAACTGCAGTGCATTACAATCGACTTTTAATAGGCAATCGGATATCATGGAGACACCACAAATAGTGTAAGTCGGTGGAAACCAAGCGAGCCTTTTGTATCCGTACGCGAATTCCGTTGGTTAATGACCCACAAGAAGTGATCCAACTTCCCAAGTCAGCGAAGTGATCAATGCTCTCAACCTTTTCACTCTCTATTGTTACATGAGGCACCAATGAAGATAATTTTCGGAGTAACAGTTTACATTTGAGTGACGAGAAATGTACCCAAAACATTCTCAAGGTGCCCAAAAGACTGCGTTCTGTCAGCGTCTTCACCTAACATAACTGTCATTTGAGTACTCTAGATTTACTAATCATTCTATTGTGATACGATCAATCCCTCCCTGTGGAGTCAGTCAAACAACCAGAGATAGACCTCCATAAGTACATCTATGATAAAGTTGAGGAAGAATGGAGAGAGTCGACACCCATGATGGATACTACGATGTACACAACTCACTGGGGTCACTAACACGCCCAATCGTGTGCCTGTGTTTCAGAACCCGTGAATTAAGGGCGAATATCTGGTCGATACATCCACGACCAGGTTAGAAACCTAGTTGGTTTCCACGGGTTTACTGTTCCCGAGCTCCACACAAATGTCTGATAACTATAGAACCTAGAATTTCGGACACTATTTTTGTCAGTATAATCCTTTGTGGTTATCATAAGACGACATATCACCCTTCTAGAGAACTTGGACAACAGCAATGGAGACCAGTCAGAGGGAATCATATCTGACTCCCGAACACTACTTAAAGCATCAATTAATTTGACCAACAATCGCTTACCAACATCACTAAATACCTCAAGTACTAGCCCATCTAGTACTGCGACTCTTCGTCGTGTCAAGCCACCTACAGCTTTCTCAACTTTTGGCAGGGTTGGAGGTTCTATCTCAATGCTCCCACTCAGGGTGTCACTAGATAACGGGTAGCGGAATAGTAGTTGGAGGCCAGTTGAACTGTTCCTCTGAGTGTTCCGCGCATTATTCCTATTGTCTGCCCTGGAAGTGAATCGCATACTCATACTTCTCCGTTGTAGCCTAACTAACCATTGATGTATACGTCCCGGTTTCCCTCATCCATCTAGACACCTGTCAACAACTACCTAGAAAATCTGAAAACTAGATTTATATCGCAGCGAAAATTCCCAGTGACATACAGTTGAATTAGCTGCCTTAGGTTTACTACGCTAGTATATAAGTTTGTAAACATGACATTACAGTTGGAGAAGCCTATCTGATGATGAGAGCTTAGTAATTTAAGAACAATTATGACAGTCTGGGAAACGGAATAGTTGTAAAAGTCAGAGTGGATAATTACCGAATTCTTAAACGCCATAATAATAATGAATACGAGGGATGAGTAACTATGTCAAGTGGGTAGGTTTTAACATGTTACGTAAGACCAAAATAGGGACGGAGAAGTAGGACAGATACGAGGACAAATGCTTATTCTCATATAGTTTATAAATCTAAGACCAGGTTGTGTAGATGGCTAAGGTATAGACAGTGAGTCTATACAAAAATTTTTTCAATAAACAGTTTACGAATGTTCCAATGAATTCCTTCGTATGTAAAACGTGTATACTTACAGCATTGATGAGATAAGAAACAATGAAACAAATGACTTTAAACGACTTGATTCAATGTTCAGAATAAACAACTTTTGGAATGCAGCTATTTGTTTGCTCCTTACTCAAGTATACAACGTGATAGGCGGGGGACAGGATCAAGTAGACTGCTTTTTTAAACTTGATTGCTAACACCACTTACTCAATTTTAATTTGTGTGTATGTGTGCGCGCATTAGTTTACTTCGCTAGACTGGTAGGTCGAATTCCAAACTAACGCTTAATATTTAATGTGACTCAATCAATCTGATCGACTAATGACCATCACACAATCCAGTTAACTATATATCAAAAGATTGAATTGTAGGTCAAATGATATTCATTTATAAGCAAACTAATGTAACTAATGTAAAGTAATTGTTACCTGACATTAACATGTAGATTTTTTTTTAAAGTTTTTTTCTATCACGGGTCAACAACCGCTAGACAACCATCGAAAAACCGCGTCTGTTTAACCAATAGTAAGAGTTAGTGGAATTGTCGTTTCTTTTCAATTTACTCCCTCGCAACCTTGGCTGTATGATATTTTATTATCATTATTTGTCCCTTGAGTTCCTAATGGAACATAGGGATTCAGTAGCACGTCTGCATTCCAGTCTGTTCTCTACAATCTTTTGAACCTGGCTCCACAACAGCTCACAAGCTCTCATTACCTCCTCGCACGATCTCCTCCATGTCACCCTCGCCTCGGACGCCCAACTCGCCGTTTCCTATCTGGGTTCCACTCGAGTGCCTGGTCTGAAGCGTGATGTCCCCAATCGGTCTTCTCAGTGTATGCCCAATCCAATCCATCTCCACTTCCTCCTGCATATTTGTTGGGCGATAGGTTCATTAACAAGAGTGGGCAGTTGTTGATGAATGTCTGTAGTTTATTGGAAATCCCTTTCGTGACGCGCCAAGTCTCTGAGCCATACAGAAGCACTGACTTGACTGGGTTGGTGTTGAAAATCTGTATCCTGTTCCACATGTTGAGTGCAGGAGATCTCCACACTGGTTTCAGGGTAATGAACACCTGTCTTGCTTTTCCGATTCTGACTTTGACGTCCTCGTCCGTCCCGCCTGTAGTTGAAACAGTGCTGCCTAGATAGGTGAAGGAGGTTACTTCCTTTAAGTTTCTCCCGTTGACGGTGATTGGAGTTTGTTGTTGGTGCTGGTGATGTTGGTAAGGTATCTTCATCACCTCCTGTCTTCGCTGCCTCCTCTGTCAACTTGTTAGTTTTCGCCTGTAGATCTTCAAGTTTGTGTGACATTGGATAAAAGTCATCGGCGAAATCTAAATCTTCTAGGTCTGTATGATATAGTGAACACAATACCTACATTTTACATCGTGTATTACTATTACATTCTATTCTAGTTTTGTAATCCTCTCGTCAAGGTGAGGAAGTCACTAATTAATCATTTGGTGAGAATAAACAATAACCCACTTCTCTGAAGTTCTATCAATACATGAAATAACGCCACCAGTGAATATTCGTACTTAAACTTAAGTTGACTAGATAGCCCAGTAACAGAAAACAGCTGATCAAAACTCTCAGGTTATTAATGCTCTTTCGTGATGTGCAGACGAACAAAAAAGATTACTCTGTGGAGGAATCAATCAAAATGAACTCCACGTTATCACCTTGACAGATGGCGGAGCAGCCAATCAATACGATTGTCTTAAATAGTCAACCATCTATATATTAGATATATTTTCCTTGTTTTGGTCTTCGGTATTTCGACACGAATACACGTCTATCGTGTCTTCTCCATTAATTAGTCGGGTCGGGAATCAACTAAGAATTTGTTGAGTATTGGTGTCTGACACTTGACATCAGTGCATCGTTAGCGACCACAGCATATAGCAGTTTTCGAATCATAACAGTGGCAACGGGAATGGGATATTGGGAAACGGATCCCTCGAAGTTGCACAACTTCCTCCACACAACATATGAGAATAATCGAGATACTTACGCAATCCAAAATTTCTGCTACTGAATCACCACCTAATACACCAGTTCTAATAGCTCCTTCAGTTGATGGCATCGTCAATACCATCAGTGAATTCCACTACCATCCTGATAACAATGACATCGATGCCGTGACTGTAATGCTGGGAACCATAAGGATGGTTTTTGCCACCAACACACATAACGATGTGCATAAAGATCATCTTCGAGATGGCGCGTGGATCTCATTCTCGATCGGCAGGTATAGGTATATGTCCTGTGTTGACAGCTGATTTTCATGCTCATTCACCTGCACCCGCACCTGCCCGCCAATAGAATATCGAGAAGACTACTGATAACCCAGTAAGCAAGGAGAAACTCTCTGCATCGGTCAGATAGATGCAAGAAAAAGACAAAGCGGCTCAATGTGACCCCAATTATCATTCTTTCGAAGACGGACGTAATATGGGGATAGAGAGAAAAGACTAGTGTGGAGAGGGACTAATCAAAATGTACTTTATGTTATCACTTCGACAGATGGTGGATCAGCCAATCATTAGGATTATTATTTTAAACAACCAACTATCTACACACACGTTTCTACACGTCCATCCTGTCTTCTCCACTAATAAGTCGGGTGGGGGGATCAACTAGGAATTTGTTGAGTGTTGGTGTCTGATAGTTGATATCCGTGCATCGTTAGGGGTTATAGCATATAGCAGATGTCGAATCATAG